TTTTGAAAGCTGAAAAGTCCACCCCCTCTGTTTAAGTTGGTTTTTCTTTCTTACATAAATGACTTCCCTCACACTCCTCTCAAACCACCTATCCTCTCTGTCCAAAATGTTAACATTCTGGTCCTAAAGAAAGAATGTCCTTTGTCCCTAAGGTGTAGATGTACCAGAGAGTCTTGTGTCGAATAGGTCACTCTTCTTTTTGGGCCATGCGTCTGTGGAGAGTTTTTTTTGTTTCCTCCAATAAAAAGATCAGAGCAGTCCTCACTGCATTGAACTGCATACACCACATTACTGAAATTTTGAATTAAAAAGATTCCTGGATGGGAAGCAAAATGTCTTCAAACTTGGAAACAAATTCCAGTGGATTGTTTTTTTTAACTTTTTTGGAACATATAACACACATGCAAGCAATGCTGTACCAGTGTATATATTGTGGCTGACATAAATTAAATCAGCTCTGATGATTGTTAAAACAAAGTCTTATAGCTAATGTGTAAATGCTGGATAAATACACTGACTAAAGAAAAAGAGCAACTTTTGACTATTATTATTTAATCATGCTAACTGCTTTTTGTTTCATTTTTTTTCACTACATTTGAACTATGTGGGTAAAATATTATAAGGCATATATTTTGTTTATTTTTGGTGTAACTGAACTTTATATCTTTGAAATGTGATATAGATTATGTTCATTCTCTTTTTTGTTATTTTCTTCCAAAAGGAACCATATAGCTTCCCCATCCTCTTATTCTCCATTGTCCAACATGAACAAGATGCATTCACACAGCAGTCTTGGAAAGACACAATCCGTCAACCAAATGGTGGGGCACCAACCTCAGCAGCATCCCACTGCAAACCCCACCATCGCTCACATGGGTAAATATTAACAATATGCTTATGTTCTGTGTGATATAACGTTTGATAATAAACTTTATGCAGACTTATTAAGACAATTTCTTTATTGCAGTTTGATCATTCCTTTGTTTCTCTTAGGTCCCAGTATGCTCAACAGCAATCACATGCAGGGTAACGGTGACATGAACAGTGGCCATAGCAGCCACAATATAGTGTCTGCCTCCCACTGCAGCCCTCCACCTTATAACCCTGACCCCGGCCTTGTCAGGTACCTCACCCTGCAGTGACACTCCTTCTTTATCCCACTGTAACAGGCCAGCTGAAAGTCAGATGCACTCGTTGGGTTTAATGTGAAATAGTGGAATGTTTCTGCTTTAGCAGTTCATTTTTTTTCTTTCTTTGGGGCATGTTCAAGTTTACTATTTGCCCGGTGATGTCTAAATGTAGACGGTTTTGGTACGATTATCGCTGCTTTTATGAAAGCTTGCAATACAAAGCAAATCTATTTACAATAAAAACTGCTGCCATCATGAAGGTCCAGTTTAAGTAAAAGTTAAAAAGTCTCTTTTTTTATCATCACTATTTTGTTCCATAATTTGGCCATGTTAATGTACAGAATTCTGTAGTAACTGTAGATTTGCTTTCTGGTGACTCTGAAGGCAGAACTGTGATCTAAATCAAATATCAAGGTTTTGGTCTGTTAATACAGCAAAGCTGGTCAAGAGGTGTTGACATAATTATGCCTGAAATAGTATTTTGTTGCTGTCGGGCAAAAATCTTGGCTCTCTTGCTTCTGTCTTTTTTTTTTATTTTGCTGTGGGAATCAACGCAGTTTATCACCTTTCACATCGCTCTGTGGTTCCACTGAGAAATATCTGAAAAACATGTCTAGCTGACCAAACAGTATGAATTTACAATTCCTAGAAATAAAAAAAAAAATGCTTTTATGGAATTAAGAGATTTCTGTCCTACAGCAACAATATGTTATCAGTTCCATACTTCGCTCTTAAATCCCTCATTGTGTCACTGTATATACAGTCCCGCTTTGCAATGCACTACTGCTATTTTTTTTTCAAAGGAAATGTTTAAGTTGTATTTAATTTAAAGCTTTTTTTCCTATCTCTTTTTTATACATATATTTTGTTTGTTTTTTCAGACTGTTTTGCTCATTTGAACAGCTTTGATGTACAGTCAAGCTCTTTTTACGACCACTTTGTATTACAAAAACTTTTAACATTTCATTGTATTTATAATAAAGGTTTTTCAGCAAATCAAGAATGTCCCCATGAATCATTAATAAAAAATGCATGTGTATGCTTTCGCTTTCACCGCATCTATCATGCTGTGTAATCGTTTATAAAACACTTGATAACAGAGTTGAGCAGTAAATCTGGAGTTGGAGAATAGAGCAATAAAAACAAGAGCTGACACAAGAATATGATGTAATTCTACAGTCCTTTAATCAGTCATCTGTACACAATAACTTAAAGTATGGATGTTACTCAATCAACTTAGGACCAATTATAATCCCATCTAGTGCTTCAGTAAAAAAATGCTCATATATTAGTCTTACTTTCAGCTGTAGCTCTGATCTAAGCAGCCCTGCTCTTCTCCCCATACAGTTTTCTCACCAGTCTGGGCTGTCAGAACTTCATTGAGTACTTCACCTCACAAGGCCTCCAGTCTGTCTACCATCTCCAAACCCTTACAATGGAGGTAATTACTCTGGAAATCATTATTTGCCTAACAAGTTTATTGTTTATTTAGCTTTAAATATATTTAAAAAAACAAGTGAAGGGAACGATATATTAAGATACTCTTTAAAAAAGGAAACTATGTTGCCTTTTAGATAATATAAAGTTTATTATTTTAGATATTTCAAACAGCCAGAAAGATGTATGTTTTATTCAACCACAAGAGGGCAGTTTTTCTTTTTTATTTATGCATTTATGGTATCACACCCTTATGTTTTTCTACTGTCTGTGCCTTTACCAGGATTTAGGTGCTCTTAAGATACCTGAGCAGTCTCGCCTCACTATCTGGCGAGGTCTGCAGGACATGAAACAGGGAACCGCTCATCAACTTCCCAACTCCAGCCACCACCATGAATACCACGGCCAGCAGCTGCTTCGCTCCAGCAGCAACATGGCCGCCTCTGCAATGGCAGCTATTGGGGCCACTGGCGGCGAGCTGCAACGTCAGCGGGTCATGGAGGCGGTGCATTTTCGCGTCCGCCACACAATCACAATCCCTAACAGGTCTGGGGTTGTGGGGCCATCGGGGATGGCACCGGCTCCTGATGAATGGGCAGACTTTGGGTTCGACATGCCGGACTGCAAAGAGTCCAGAAGCAAGCATTCCATCAAGGAGGAATTCATGGAAAGCGATGTTCACTGAGACTGCATTTCCATGTATACATCATTTAAATGCTTGTTCATGGGGTCTGTTAAGATGCTTGGAGGTTTTGAGTGTTCTTATTTTTCCCAAAGAATTAACTACCTTTTTATTTTGGGATTACTCTGTGTAGCTTAAACAATTAGTTTCTCCACAAGTACCTTGAGAAATAACCAAGCATTTTTGACAAAACTTACATGTTTTGTCTTGTTAAACTTTATTTTCCCTCACAATGTTCTCAACTTGTAGAATGCCAGCTGCCAACTTGCAAATTTAGTTTTTTTTTTCTTTGACATAGGAGCATTTCTTGGTTAAATTATTTATTTTGCATTGTGTTTTTCTTACCTTGTACAAATGTATTTAGTGTATCTTGTAAATGTTTTTGGACTAGATGTGGTTTTAAGAGTATTTGGATTCTAAATGACGCATCTCCTGTTTGAAACTAATGTTTAGAGCTGAACAGTAAGTCAAAGCTATAGCTATCATACCACAGTCATGTATTTTTATTAACTATAATAACTCGAGTGACTTTTAATTAAATATGTTTTAATGTCATTGTTGAGATTAGATTCATGTACTTCAGCTTTACTGAGGTAACTGTATATGTTAACAAGTGTTCTAGCTTTTACGATTTGATATGTTGTAAAATATCCTGTTTATCCTTATTTTTAGCAACTGATCCACAAACAGCAGAAAATCAAAGCTTTAGAAACAGTATTATATTGAAATGAATGGATTTTAATTAGTTATGTAAATTATATTTTAGACTAGTGTCCCTGTTTTTCAAGAAGCATTTTCTGAGTAGCTTGTAAATCCTTGCGGGGCAAGGCTCATATGTGTCGAGTACTGCAAAAAATAGTCTGAAAAAGTCTTAAACCATCCCTCAAGTTAGGAAAGACTGAAAAACCCTTCATTGAAGCTCTTTTGAAATAATACATGAATGCCCAGCTCCTCATAAGGAAAGTAAAAAAGATGGCTTAAGACTTTTTCAAAGTAATTTGTGTACTGTGTCTTCATGACTGATGTTTAGGACTGCATTCCAGTTTTTTTTTTATTTCTAGTTTTCAAATCAAAAAAATAAATATTGTTTCACTTCCTCGTGTCTTTGCAGAATATGGCAAAATATCCCTGATTTACAGTCATTTTCTAAGGTACTTGGCAAAATAATTATTTTGATCACTTTGTGAAAGAACAAGCACTTTAAATGCTATAAACATAAAAGTCCAAATGATCAGTATTAAGCACACGCCTTTTCGAAATGTAAATAGAAATGTGTTTTGTTTTAATATTCTAATCAAATTGCCCTTCTTTTTTTGTACCAGCTTTGTAAAACAATACTGTAAAAGATGTACTTGTTCTTCAGTGTAACTTGTTTTAAAAAAGTGTTTTTCTTTAAAGCATTGTTTCAAATATCCCCCTCCTCAATGTCTCTCCTTATTATACTAATAAAGAGTTTCAACTCAAACCCCAATTTTGACTTTAATATAATGATGGAAATTGCGAACAGGTGTGTGAATTACAGTATTATTCTCATTGCAACTCGTTCACCCTGTTATTGATAATGACTGCATAATAATATTATTTCTGAGACTTATAACCCTTTAATAAGCTTAATTCTTAAGTCTGTATCATGGTTTTTAGTTACTTTATTTGCAAAATGTTCTTCGAAGGAACATTTTTGGAATACAGGTGGGTTTATGAGTGCTTGTAATATTTAAACATGTAAATAGGCTGCACGCAGCTTCTAATAAAAAATAGCTTAGGAGTAAAAAGTATTTGGAATACGTAAAATTATTCTTGTTAAGATTTTAGCCATAAAGAATCCTGTTAATGCCAATCAGAATGAACATTTTAGATCTGTCAAATATATTTCTCAGGTATTAACACCACTTTTCTCATTACTGTGTTCTGAGTGTTACATGTTATGTATTATTGTGTAATTTATCATGTTAAATGCAACAGGTTGGATTCTGACTGAATAAAAAGTTCAGGAACCTTTTCCCTATAGTTAAACTATGACCCCTGTTTGTATCTTTGCTGAGTAACCTTAATACTGACTGTAACTTCAAATTAATCTTAAGAATACCAATTTATTTATTTATTTTTTTGCATGTCCTTGGGTTTACAAACGCGACTAAATTAACTTGTTTGGTCTACTGATTGACCAAGTATATAAATGCTGCACACTATGAACAACATTTTTAGACACGGTCAAGTTTTGTTTGTTTCCTAGAGTGGAGGTCTTCAACAAGGGGTTCACGACCCCCCGGAGGTCCACAGAGGTACTGCGTGGGGGTCACAAAAGTTTTGGTTGAAAGAATTTTTTTTTTAATTCCCCCCCCTGCAATTTTTTCCACTAATTGAAATGTCTTTAAATACACATTAACATGAATTTAACACACTGTAGTAAACAGATAAATAGAGGCAGAAGATGTCTTTCAGTCATCAATGCACACATTCAGCGACACACATGAATCCTTTCAAGCTGGGCACCGTTTCATTCACAACACTTGTCGCATCAACCAGGAATCAGAATCAGAAATACTTTAACAATCCCGGGGTGACATTACTTTCATTATATTACTCCATATGTAATAGAGTGACTATAGGACCAGTTTGATATAACACCATGTCATACAATATCTATAATTAGGTGGCCCCTGCTCCATCTTGCCATCAGTTTGGGGGTCATTGGCCTGGAAAAGGTTGAAGACCCCTGTCCTAGAGGATTTAATACAAAAAAAAACAAAAAAAAAAACAACAACAAAAAAAACAGTGAAGTGCTTTAATTGCTGGTGGGTGATAGGCTTGAGTGGAAGAAAAAATCGCCACTTAGGATCTCAGAAAATCTTGGGCCACCCTTTTGAAAATTGATTTGCAGATAACCACTGTATCTTTGCTTGAATGTCTAAACATATCATACGTTTATGTTAATGTAAAAACAAAAACAGACCGTTAAAAACACATTAAGCTCTAAAAAAAAAGGCAGCCTGCCATACTTTCAATGGCCTGTGGTGATAAAATGTAACAACTGCCTGCCATACTCGAATGTCCTGATGTTCACGGAAGTACTGACGTGTTCCCACGAGAAGTGGCTAGTATAGCTAGCTGGGTAGAGCCGGGTAGTGACTAAGAGGCCATATCAGGTAAGAAATGGCTGTCATTGTTGTATTTTGTTTTAATTGCCTACACCGCCGAGTGGCAATAATTAAGGATAAATCAGACATTCGTGTGTAAAAACATAGTATTATTAGTTAACTATAAACGTGTTATCTAAAGAATAATGCTTTTCCAATCATGCTAACACAGGCTAGCTTCAAACCGCTGGTAACATAGAAACGTATCACAGGAAGTGAGTTGTCCAGTTTTTAAAAGCACTGCTGGGTTTTGTAGTTCTTTCAGACCCTTCTAACGAGTCAACACAACGAAAGGAGAGATTTTACGAACTACACGTTCATTCGAGGATCCGGCGTGGTCTCTCTAAGTAGGAGTTGTGGGAAATGTAGGTAGATAGCTTTGCTCAACGAACTTTCGTATAAACCGTAGGCTAGTATAAGAACTACATAACCCATACAGCCTACAATTTGGGCCAAAGGTAACGTACATTTACATGTCCTGTTAGCCATTTTTATAGCTTTTTTTAAGCTAATACGTATAGTTCACATTTAAATTCCGTAGGAAATGTCATAAAAGCATCTCATTATATTTACCCTACATCTATGCCTTTATGTAGATTCTACATGAATCATTTTGCTTCGACAAAGCTTGCGCTTGTTGGTTTGCAATTAAACAAATCTTTGCTAGCCACAATCAGTTCCAGTTTCTCAAGGTTTTCCACAACAGCTAATATCATATATTTATGTTAAAATGAAACATTCTGTAAAAGCAGCGTAATACCCTCGCTTTTTAAATTAATAAGCAATGTTATACATAAACCTTAGCGTCAGTTGGGTTCTGTACAATAGGTAACTTCAGTCATTATTCAGTAATGACTCCATAGTAAATGAATTTCCTGGTTGCTACTTTTAGAATTTAGCTGTTGAACCTGTAGCTAGACTTAGGAATTTCTGGTAGTTTAATTTGAGAATCGCATTACTGTATTTCATAATCTGTGCTGTTTCTTAAAGTATGACAGTACATGCTGTGTAAGAGTGTAGTAGACAAAAAAAAAATTAAATCATTCAAAAAGCATTTAAATATTTTTAAAGCT